GGGGCGCCAGCGCCTGCTACGCCTTGGAGGTGCCGGAGGGTCGCATCCGCGCCTGGGGCGAGTGGCGCAGTAACGTTATGTGGAAGTACATCGACGTGTATCGGCTGCCGTCCGAGTGGGACTTCCGTCTTTTTGGTTGGATGACGCTCACGGCCCGCGACTTACACGCCCAGTACGGGCACATCTTCTGCCCGGGCGGTGCGTCATCGCCCCGAGGGTGACCAAGGCATGACCACGCCTTCGCTCCGGAGGAGCTGCACCGTGCCCTAGTGTGAGTGGGCACATTTTAAGTGGGTCGCCAATCGGGTCTTGTACTAGTGAGGTGATGGACACCAAACTGTGTGAGTGTAATGTATTGTCGTGTGGGGAACACGGGGGGGGTTGAAGGAGACCGGTAAGGCAGAAATGGAATTAACTATCCTGTTAATGGGTTTCTGCTAAGGACGCCGATTGGGTGGGCGCGCAACGGCCAGGGCGGGCCGTTCCGCCCTTTGGGACAGTTTGGGCCATCCATCAGCCGGTTTCTGTCACCCCTGTACTCGGGGTCAGTGCTGCCCGACGCACCCAAGGGCGGTGGGGTTGATCCTTGTACCTTGGGCGCAGCCAAGGGGACCGGTCAAGCTGGCCCTTGGGTTTGGCGGGGAGTTTGGCGGCAAGTGGGAGCGGCTATTTTAGGCGCGACCCTTGGCTCCCCCCTTTATCTTGTTTCGCACCCGCCCGGCCCACCCGAATAGTGTGAGTTCGGTTAGCTGTGGGATGGAGAGGGCGTTGAGTACGAGGAAAGGGGAGCTGACTCTGGGTTGAGTCACTATCAGAGTGGCATTAAGTACTATGCGAAGCGAGGGCACATTTTAAGTGGGTCGCCAATCGGGTCTTGTACTAGTGAGGTGATGGACACCAAACTGTGTGAGTGTAATGTATTGTCGTGTGGGGAACACGGGGGGGGTTGAAGGAGACCGGTAAGGCAGAAAGGGTTGAAACTGCCGTCCAGAGCTCTGCAATCAATCAAAGCAGCTCTTGAGAGGTCGGCGAAGTTCAAAACGTCGGTTAGGTCCACGGGCCATGTCAGCCCCGTCCAAAGCGCGGCAGCGCATGACGCAGCAGGGTCTCCCTCCGCCTTGCCACGGCTGTGCAGCGACGATGACTGGCTGATCTTGACCGGCAGCAAGACCGCACTCGAGGTGCTGGAAGAGGACGGCAAGAAAAAGGCTCAAGAACGGCTTAGAGTGGCCGCGACCTTCGAAAAGGTCGAGCTCTATTGCGCTCAGGCCATGGCGCACGTGGTGCGCACGGCCAGGGGACTCAGGCAGCCAGGCCGCGTGCCTAAACCGACGCGCGAGGCACAGAGGGACCACACGCAGTCGTTGTTACAGCTGCCATACTGAATTCAACGGTGCACCGTCCCCTCCAGCGCTCTTCGCGCCCTCCCTACTTATTTCCACCTGACCGGTCTCCTGAACCCACCCGGTCGTGTTCCCCACACGACAAGACATTTGCCACGAAGGAGTCCGTCACCATGAACTCCAAATAATCAAGGCCCCCATACTCAACAGTTTGCCCTTTCGCTTCGTACATACTTCACGCTACTTTTCTCCCATGACTCAGCCCTGAGTCAGCCCCCTAATCCAATACTTCCGCCTTAGGAGTTGAGTTGAGGGAGATAGAGGGAAGGAGCGGCAGGGAGGGCCGGGTACGAAACAAGATAGGAGGGAGACTGAGGGGGAAGCCTAAATAGTCGCCCCCGCTCAGCCCCGCCAAAGCCCGCCAAAGTCCAAGGGCGCCAAACTTACGGCACCTTGGAAACTACGTACTTTGACTGACGCAAGGTAGTAGAGCGGCCAGAAAACCGTTTGAAATCAACGGCCACCGATTTGAATCATCGACGCAGACACCCAACGTCGTCCTTGGTGGAAGCATATTAACATGATAGTTAATTGCATTTCTGATGTGGTTAGGTTATTTGGGGGTGGCTGCTGTGCCGTGTTGAGGCCGCATGCTGCTGTGCCCAGCGTCTGAGGGGCTGAACGGACGGACCATAGTCCGTGAAGCTGTAAAGACTCCGTTGGCATTCTCTTCGTGTGCGACCCTTGCACACAGGCAGTGGCGCGCAGCCCGACCAGATCGGCCTCACGGCCAAGAGCTTCAGGTCTCCTGCACTGGAATTTCGGCAGAGCACGCCCATTGCAATCACGCCGTTCGAGTGCATGGGTTTCCAAGCGATTCTGTGAGAATCGAAGCGGCTTCCCGCGTGTCTCTCACCCAAGGCCCGGAATTCTGCATGAGCCCAGACGTGCAAGGCCTAAATCCGGTTAGGTCGGGCTTTCCGTGGCGGAATCGCCGCCGACGTGTTCGTGAGCTGCGCGATCCCAGATACATCTACTTTGACGCAAATCCAATCGAGCCGGAAGGCGGGACAGGCGAAGGCTTGGCGCTCTGTGGATTTTCCCCCGGGTGGCTGCCATGTCAGACTGCCACTTTTTGCACGTGCTGTTTAGATTTGGGGGATTCAATTCCCATGTCGGGCAGTTCTCACGCTGGCAGGGCTGCGCCGATGGTTTTGAATCGGTTATCCTATTTGAATGCACACTTGAGCCACCACCCTTCGCGTGAACCCACGTTATCAACTGGAAAGGCGCCAGAAGGTGTCAGGTGGAAAGACACCAAAATCCAAGGGCAATTTGCCAGCCTTTTGGGTTCCAAGTGGTGTCGGCTTTCTAGGCTCACCCCTCGATCCCAGCTCTTGTCCTGTCTCCCACCAGCCCTGGTCCCCCAGAGAGCGATGTCCGTGACTACGGGGTGCTGACTCAGGGCCGAGTCACGTGGTAGCGAATCGTAAAGTACCGCAGAGCAAATGAGGACAGCTGCGTGGAACTTGGGAAAATGAATGGAAAATTTGAAGCCCGAGCTGTGAAGAAGGGATATGTGGAAGGGAGTGGATCAGAAGATACTCTGAACTACTCGTGATGCTTACACGACACCCAGCTGCCATACTTGCTCGATCGTATTCCAGCTGCCATACTTGCTCGATCGTATTCAAGTTTTCCGAGCTCTTCGGCAGCAGCTCTTGTTATAATAAGTACGACTGTGCTGTGCACCCCCGCGAAGTATGGGCTTGTGCTCAAATGCAATCCATGCGCAATGTTCAGTGGTTTTTTCAACCGTTAGCGACGCTCAGCGGCTATCCATGCCGCGCCAACACCTGACTGGTGCATGGTGTAGTGCTGGCTAGTCAATCACTGCATGTCGCTAAGAGGGGAGACAAGCAGCGGGCACAATTTTGATGACTATGAACGACTGTTAAGAGGGGAGACAAGCAGCGGGCACAATTTTGATGACTATGAACGACTGTTAATCGGGCTGTGAAGCTGGAGGTGAGCATCCGAAGGGCATCGACAGCGGCGGCGGAATTCCCACAGCTGCGTGAATGTCCGTGTCAGTGTCTTTTGTGAGATGTGGGAAACTTCTGTGCCCGATGCAATCAAGGCACTTCCAATGCGTGGAAAGGCACACTTGCGCGAGCACACACCGTATACACACCACTGTCGTTTCTGCATACGCTGCACTGCTACTACTGCTGCTGCCTGCTGGCAACAGCAACAGCCTACGAAATCCTTTCTATGCCTGTCGTCTACGGCCTGGATTCCCCGTGATTTTTGGCGATTCCGCGATTCTCGGCGAATTTTCGGCGAGTTTCCGGCGATTCCGCAACGACACGTGCAGTTGAAACCAACAGCGTTGTTAAATCAGCCGGTTTGTTCTGTGGCGGTGAGAGCTTGTTCCCACAGCATGCAATATGTCAACCATCGGGAACCTTCAAAAGTCCGGCGCCCACAGCGCCCTAATGAGTTAATACATGCGAGACGTCAAGTCCTGAATCCTGCCTCGCAGTTGTGGCTCCCTATCTCTAGTTGTCACACCAACACTCGAACGCCCCGGTCTTGGCATCGACGTTGGGCTCGGTCCACAGGGTCTTGTCGGAGCCAACCTGCTTGGTGGCGGCGCACCTGAACGCGCTCCTGCTCCAACACAGGGCACAATTCAGTGGGTAGAATCGGCAATCAGCAACCACACATATGGTGCAATCATAAATATCCCAACAACATTGGATCAGTGGTACAGTGGAGCTGAAGATGGGAGGCATGACGAGCGCCGGCAGCTTGGCATGCAACCAGCGGAGCTACAACAGCGTTTCCTAAGCAGCAGCAGCAGCAGCAGCAGCAGCAGCAACATTCCGTATTCAATAAATCGAACTCGGCCACAGCCCATGGCTACAGATGCTATAACTACAGCCATACCAAACTACCAGCTACACCACTATACCTCTATCGCTACGAGCTAGCTACTAGTATACTTTCACGCGCTGGCTTATTGTACTCACTCGCGGCTGGAGAGCGTGCAGCGGCAGATATCCTCGTCTGTGCGGCAGCACACGCCCTGGCTGCCCGTGCACTTCTTGAGGTTTGCAATCTTGTCGTCAACAACTTTCACATCGGCCGGGTCCACCTCCATTGTGCCTGCGCCGGCGTCGCCGGTGGCATCTGCCGTGCCCATGCCCTCGACGATGGCGGTGGAGTCAACCTCCGCCACGTTGTCGTCGTCGCCCGTGATCTCGCCAAAGATCTCGGACTCAGAGAATGCCTCCTCTGCAACACGGGGAAAAATGACCATAAGAACGGACTCAGAGAATGCCTCCTCTGCAACACGGGGAAAAATGACCATAAGAACGAGAGTCAATATACTTGTGGTAGCAGGGCGAGGTGCTACGTCTCTTGGAGACTATTCACTCTAGCTGGTGTTCCTTGCAGTGGCTAGCCCACAGGACAGTGGTCCATGGTGGTTTGCAGCGCAAATGTGTTGCGTCCATCCACCACTGTGGTCCATGGTGGTTTGCAGTGCCAACGTGTTGCGTCCATCCAGCCCAATGGTCCACGGTGGTTTGCAGCGCAAATGTGTTGCATCCATCCAGCACACTCACCGCCACAAGACTGGCCAACTTCGGCCCAGGCAAAGCCGATGACGATGGGGGAGGCCACAGCCCTGGCGAAAGAGTTCTGCTCTGCGAGGATGAATGAGCTGCCAGCCTCCGCAGAAGCACAGCCGCTGGCAAATGCCTCAGCCCAAGCCTGCAGGAAGCAGTTCGCTGCTGACTCAGCCACTACTCAAGCAAGCTGGAAATTCTCAAAGCACATTCCAAGCGATGCTTCAACATAAGCTGCAGATAAACAATGCCTTTCAAGGACATGACAACATAGCATGCAGCACGAGTCCAGCAACTGAATTTAGCACTGCGGCAGCAGAATGCGGACAAAAGCCTTTGAAGCTATGCAAATCCGAGAACCAAAAAATATACTGACAGCCCAGCACTCACCTGGGCAACGTTCGCGGTAACAAGATCGCCATATGCCTGGGCAAATGATTCGTTGGCCTTGTCCTCATCTCCTTCAAACACGAGCTCAACAGCAACATCGATGATGACCTGCAAGTATGCTGTCGCAGTGGCGTCGCCTGAAGCAGCGGCATCAGCACAGCCCTCTCCCTGCACATTCATGATGGTGGTGGGTGTTTGAGCCAAGTGCTTTTTGAGCTTCACGCAAAATTGGGTCAACTGCTACAGAGATGCCCACATGGACAGGAACTGCCTTGCCAGCCACAGTGCAAGAGGAAAGGAGAGTGCTTCCCTCGATCGCCTTGCAGATCACAGGATGCAGCTTTCCACGCGTTCACAGACAATGTCAGCACACAAAGGTGCAGATTACCTGACATGCAGTCAGAGACATTACACATACAAGAACACAAACTTTGCTTGAACTACTTGAAGCTCTGCCTTTGCCGCGATCCTCACCGTTCCATCGATGGTGACAGTCCCAAAGGCGCTGGCGTACACTTCCGCGATTGCCGACACGGACTCCATAACCTCCGCATCGACGCCCAGGCGGACATCTTCACAAGAGGCGTTCTCAGGGATTACTTCCCTCGCCCTCACCCAGATTTCCTTCACAGCAGCGACGGACTGCTCGTTGATCTGCAGACCACAAGGCACAGCCTCAGCAATGAAAGGGACGAAAGCATTTCCTTCACAGCCGCCAGGGCCTGCTCGTCAATCTGCGGAGATCAAGGTACAGCGAACCATATAGAAGGACGAAAGCAGTCTGTGCTAGCGCAGCGCACAAGTCTGCATCAAGTTCAACGACATATACAGCAGAGTGCATAGGTTTCTGCCGAGATCAACAAGACCACAATTTTCTTTGCAAGACCCCCTGGGGAGCTGACCTCGGTGCTGGCGAACGCCTCGGCGACGCCGGTGCCCTCCGTCACCACGACATTGCTTGACGCGGCCGCCATGCCATCGGCGTCATTGGAGGAGGCTCCGGCGCTGCTGGACGCGCTCGCGCTGCCGCCGCCCTGCAGGAGCTGGCGGCGAGCGCCCGAAAAGTCTGCGGGGGGGGGAGGGGGGGGCAGCAAGGCGTTAGCGAGGACCAAAAACAGACACAGCAATCCAATAGGAAAAGCAGGTCCGCTATTTCGAGGTAGCAGCGGTGGGCGGCGCGCAGGAACAGTCTGAAGCACGCGCGGCCGAGGGAGTTGAGGTGGGGAGAACAGCGAGGGGATGACGGAGAAGCGGAAAGATGCAAAAGTCCGTTGCGGACATGCCTGAAAAGGCTGCTAGCCCTGGTGAACGATCAACTTGAGACCGCCACGTGTGTGTCCGTCTGGTGCCAAAACACCCATTCACACAGCAACTTCAGTGCCAGAAAGTCTCTGTTCTGGTGGAACCAAGCATCTATTCGCCTGGAAATCACCCCTCCTCGCTGAGAACTAAGCATCTATTCGCCTGGAAAGCACCCCTCTTCACACCGACAAGACGAGACTCCTGAGCACCAATCTGCAGGTCGACAGTCGATTTCACAACGCTGGGGCCGGGAACGCACCGGTGGCCTGTGCCGCCACCAGGAGTGCCGCCAGGAAGGCGCAGACTAGGGCGGAGCGTGTCATGATCGGTCTGCAGCGAGCACAGAGTCCATCAGCACAACAGAACTCACAAAAAGGCAGAACACAAGAAGAACAGGAATGCAGCGTGGTGTCCATCAGCAACAACCAAACAGAACACAAACGAGGAAACCAGGGCATGAACAGAACAGCATAGCATCAACCCCGGAGCCGATCGCCCACGGAGCAAGGCGCGGGGCCAGCGCCCGCCTAGTTTGGGCACACCAACGCGGCCGCCCCTGCCGATACAACGGCTGCCGCTGTCACAGCCATCCATCAACTTATCACTGACCCGCAGATCAGAAAGTTGAGATACGAGCACTGCATCCAGCGCACGGCCACGCGGATGGGCCCTAGGGGCCGATCTGCTTGACAAGGACCGTTTCGAGGCGCCTGAAGACGGTTTGCGGCGGGGCATTCGCGAGGGGCACATCAGGTAGATGACTTAGGGGAACATTTTCGAGGCCGCCGCTGGGGTCGGTAGGAAAGATCGCGCAAAGCTGGGAGGGTGGACGATCGGCAAGCAGGGCCTGATGGCATACCGTTAGGCCGCGGCCGGCACACCTTGCTCCTCGACGGCGAAACACGCTGCCCCAATCCGCGTGAGCGTACCAGGCACTGGGCTGGACCCTTTGGGGTCGCAGGACGTGGCGGACACGGCAACGCAAGCGGCCCTAAACTACGGTCTACTGGTCGTATTGGTGCTCGAATAGGATCAGGCATAGGAGGCTTGGGCGCAGTCTGCCGCCTGCACTGTACCTCGGCTTTCGGCGTCTTCGGCATATTCTGGCCGCGGCTGATGGGTGGGACCCCCAACGGGGGGTTGACAACAGCTGGGCGGGGTGCGGAAGTGCTGGGAAAAGCGGGGGAAAGAGAAGATGGCGTGACTTGCAGGAAAATTGACGGGAGGGCCCGAACGGCAGGAGTGAGATGCTTGGGACGGACCCAGGCCGCGCGCCATTGCCACGCACGAAGACGGTCAGCGGCGCACGGCGTGGGAGGGATTGCCAAGGGCTCAGACTACAATTTTCGTCCTCCGTGTTTGCGGATAGTGCGCCTGGCCCTATGCCTCGGTCGCGCGGGGTGTGTGTGTGTGTGCAAAGCCGGGGCGCATGAAAACGGACCGACCGCGGCCTGGGGCAATGGCTGCGCCAATATCTGCAGCATTTTCATCCGCGCATCACGACGGGTTGCACCGACTCACAAGAGCGCGGCTGTCGGGCGATGGCCCTGGGGTGATGTCGCGAAGTGCGGACTAAGTCGCATCCAAAACGCGAAGCACACGGCATGGCATGGCCGGCGGCATGGTCGAAAAATGCGCCCAGGCCCCAGTCCGGGCGCGCGGGACGGCCACGGCCGAGCCGGCGGCAAGCTCGCGTCCAAGAGCCCGGTTGAGGCATCCAGGGGGACAAAAACGTTCACAGCCGGGGAGGGGATGGTGGGGGCCCCGGGGAGGTGTTGCGCCGTCCGGGCGTGCGCGATGGCCGCCGCGGCGGCGCGGGCGGTGAGCGGGTGGGGAGAGCACGGCTTAGGACTGTCGGCCAGTGGTGATGACGTAACAAGCCGAGCCGATGGGCGATCCGCGCGCGACGCCGCACTTCGCAGCCGTCGCCCGGAGCTTCGCCGCCCAGGGGGGGGCGGAGAGGCTTTGCGCGACCGACCCAGGGAGAGCCGCCGGCGGCGGTGGCCGACCCTCGGACAGCACAGCGCGCAGCACAGCACGGAAAACAATGAAAATCCCCATCCGATGAAAACCCACCCCCAGGGCCCCCCCCCCTCCCCCTTCCCAAACAGCAGCGCCCGCCAGCCGCCAGCCGCCAGCTGCCAGGCCATTTGGTCGGCTTGCCGCGGCGGAGCGGACTTGCCAGCACGGCCGCGACTCACAAGCAGGCTCCGACCATCCCATTCCCGGCCGCCACGCCCTATCCCGGCGCGCCGAGGGCAATCAAAACCATCAGCCGCGCCCAGCGCTCACCGTAAAGGATGCGCACAGCAGACGCTCCCCGTTATCCGCCCTCAGAGTACCCCCTGCACCGGCGCTGGGTGGGCTTAGCGTGGACCGACTCGTGTGTGTGCAGCGAGGAACGGCTGTGAGAACGGGTACAAATGGGAGCACTGGGTGGGGGCTCAAATAGCGGAGACCAGGCCCGGGGCGTCCCAGGAACCGGACTCAGTCATCCGTCGGGAAGTAAGGACAGTTCCAAGAAAGCGGGTGGGAAGTATTCTGATCCGTCGCCGGGCGCCCAGCGGCTAGGCGGAGCCCGCGGAGTCGGACATGGGGCCCACCGCGCCGCTTCACTCTTTCTCAGCTGGTGGTCTTGATGGGAGGAAGGGGAGGGCGTGGCGTGTGACGCGCCACCTTGGACTGGGCATTGGCTTGCACGATTGCTCGCCCAGTACTGGATCATGTACTGGGACGGGTCGTGCGTTGGAGGCTGATGGGAATGCGTCTTGTGGGCTCCGAGGTGGGTGTGACCGGAGGCGGCGGGGCCGCGGGGGGGCGCGAGGCACGGCACGGCCGCGCCTTGCGCGAAGTTCGCGAGGCCGGCAATGTACCGGCGCGGATCATGTGAATGTTATTGAGACTTAGTGGGCGGGTGAGGGCCGGAAGCCATGCGGAAGGTGCCCGCTTGCTTGAGGGGCGGGGTGCTCGCTCGGTTGGCTGACGAACGGCGTTTCAAAACGGTGCTCTGGAAGCTCTGTGCGCCTTGCTGGCCAGCAATGTCTCATAAAGTGTACTGGCAGTATTTCCACCCAATGGTGCGCCGCTCCATAGTGCACACGCACTGTGCGTTTTTCTCCACCCAGTGTCACACTGGGGTCGTGAGCTCCCACGCACGCTCGGTTCGGCAGCGCGACATGTGTTTCGCGCCGGTGCCGCAGCACATCATTGCGGTTCGCGGAATCGGTGCCGCAGCATACCATTGCCTCGCTGCCCTTCCCATCACCGTCACGTCGGCCACGTGCATCATGTAAGCCTTCCCCACCGCCCTCGCCCAGTACATTTGGGCTATCTGGAAATTGGCAGACGGGAATAATGTGCAGGTTTCGTTTTTATGCCCCAAAGCCAACATATTTGCGTTTTTACGTGTGGAAACATTTTTTTATGTTTTTTTGGTGTAAAAATACGTAAATATAACGTAAATACAGCCCCGTGTATGTTAGGGCAGCACAGGGTTGGGAAGTCCGGGGAGTGGCAGTCAGGCGCGCTGGAATGGGTAGAGGTTGAAGTTTTGTTCCGTGCCGTCGTTCCCCGATGCCAAGGGCGAGGGGGGAACTGTGTTGCGTGTGCTGGAAATGGTGGAGGACTGATCATTGTACGCAACTTCATCGTGTCACCTGGCGGTTTCAAAGAGCCGTAAAAACGTAAAAATAGCTGTAAAAATAGGCATTTTTGCGAATTTACGTTGTATTCGTAAAAACGTACAAGTAAAAACGTAAACATCAACGTAAAAAACAAGCCTGAATGCATGGGGACGCCCCGGTAGTACACAACAGCCGTAGATGGTCATGTATCGATGGTCGCAACATCCAACTCCTGTTGATGTCGCAACGATCATTCCACATGCCGATGGTCGCCATGGGAACCGCGCATAACCCTCTCCCATACTCATGGGCAGCTGATCCATGTCGACAACCTCAGCTCCACGTTCTTTTGGGAATGTATGGGACGATCAAGAGGTCCCCCCTTGCGCAGATTGGCTCCTCACGAAACGCCACATGTCGCAATGACGATGACTGACAAAAATAGTAGCGACAGCAAGGGGAAGCTTCAAACGGGTAGCAAACGTCCCACTACCAGCCAACCATGCAAACACACTTGCAGAAGCTCTCACAGCTGCTGCTCACAGCGCCTCAGCCGGTCGCAATGGCTTTCCAATTGTCGGCGAAGTCAAGGCGCAATTCGGGTCCACAGGTCAGGGCTGTCTTGTCCACATCACATCGATGTATGACACTGAAAACGCCTCGCTTTGTCTCGACAAGGCTGTGCAGCGACTAGGCTTGGCAAGTTCTGGCCGGTAGGTAGACCATACTGGAGGTGCTGGTCTTGAACTGCAAGGAAACGGCTTGAAGAAAAGGCCCAGATTGCCCGTGACCGTTTAAAAGTTCGAGCGCTATTGCGCTCGGGCCACGGCGCACGTGACGCGCACAGCCAGGGGACTCAGGCAGCCAGGCCGCATACCTTGACCGCCGTGCAAGGCACAGAGGGACCACACACAGTCATTGTTACAACTGCCATGCTGAAGTCAACAATGCATCGTCGCCCACGGCGCCCTTCGCGCCCTCCCTACTTACATCCGCCTAGGGCGTCCGACATTCCCACAATAACGCCCTTCGTGGCAGAAGATCTTTTGATTCCCCGGAATCTCCCCATCACACCACCGCATCACCGCAATTCACCCCGGTACACCCCACGCCACTCGGTCAACAGCAACAAATTGCCCCGCGAGTCACATTCCCATCACACAGCCACGCGGCGCCTCCACACGCCCCCCCTTGACTCCGTCTCATCGCGTCCGTGGGCAGACCGCGACGGGGCGAGCCCCCTCCATCGTAAACGGGGTCCTTTTCGTAAAGTACACTGGTCGGCCAAATTGTGGCCAAACCAACGTCTGTTGACGCACTTTCTTACACCAGGAAAAAATGGGGTAAATATCACTTTTGCGAACACACATAAAACACATTTCATCATAGTTTTACACACTAAGAACACAAGAATAACACAAACCCGTAAACTTTGGACACGTTCGAGGTCGCGTTATTTGGCCCTTTTTTTCCTAGTGTTAGCGGATGCCTCTTGAAAACTTCTGTATGAAATGGGAATGACACAACCATGTTGCAGAATTGAATTGCTGCTGATTTGATGACTTCAAATCCAAATTCAGATCAAACTTCACAACAGTAATTTCGTTAATGTATTCACCCCTGATTGGTAGTTGTGAGGCCTTTCTGCCTCACTGCGCACCAGCTTGTTGAATGATGGTCAGATTAGTGAAGGTTCTGAGGCTGCCGACACTCCCTTTCCCCACGCCTGGACCTCACGGGTCGCCCACGTGGGCACTGAATAGTATCATTAAGATATTCTTTTTTCCGATGATTCCCAGCATTGGCGACCCGAACAACGCGTAAAAGAGTAAACGTAAAAACGTGGACGTAAACATTAAAACCAAGCCTGATGATGTGCCTGGAGTATCATTGATGCAACCACGAACGGCATCGCAGCAAGGCCAGCGTATCAGCACTGATGCAATGTTCGCACACACACACATCAACGCTTGTTGATGGACGTTTGCCGACGCATTGCTTCCTAGTGCGTCAGTGGCAATGCAGCCACAACATTCCATCAACGTCTATCTATTTTCCAGACGGGAATGGCAATGCCGAACCTCGTCCAACCTTTACCTGCACGTGCTTCATAGTGTTGGAAAGCGTGGCACAAGGCTCAGTATTTTATTACTCTTAGTTGACCATGTCTTCCCTGAAATGGCGTTCTAGGTGGTTGGTGTGGACAGGGACTCTCTTTTCTGAGGCACTTCACAAAACCCAACCGTTCAGCAGGTCGCTTATGTGTAGTTGTGCTCGTGTGGGATTAGTGCCCACCATTGCCAATGACCTGGGGCGTGGGATCGCCTGTCAGGAGACCACCCACGAAAAACACAACGCGATGCGCATGCATTTGGTCCTCATGGCACGACGGATGCGCCGAGCTCAGCTGGCGTTCAGTTAGGCCTGAAGCAGCAATATACCAATCCCAGTCGAGCATTTAAATTGAATTAGCACGAGTAAATTCGCGCAAATGTTGAAATCGGCTTGGGATGCTAGGACATTGAAGTGGCAGGAAAACATCGCGTATCCCTGGTATCCTTTTCCGCAGCAAAGTACTTGGCAGCCTGCTCTCTAAGCCTGGGGGGCACGCTGCAGGGACGGGGCGGAATCACGCAATGGCATCGTGACAATACTAAGTGTATCGTGGCGACGTGTCGTTCTGAAAACCATGTACAGCGTGTTCGGCAAGGTTCTGGGTCTCCGTTCCAGAGAAGAAACTATTGCTGGGCCACCAAACGAGTTTCGAGACAGGCTTGATAGCAGACGTAGCTGCTAAGTTGGGCTCGCAACAGCATTTGCTGTGCCTGCGAGTTGCAATCGAGTTTCCTGGCCTGTGACTTGCTCTCTGCCCACTTCTTAGGAACGCCTTCGGCCTGGAGCCCAGGCGGTGGCTGCAGGCATCCATTCAGCTCTTCGCACTTCACCCAGAAAGTGGAACATTCAATGGTCCGTCTTGGGCGAGGCAGGCGAGAAACTGATAGCTTTTGACTCCTGGCTGCCGGTCGCGCAGGTTTGAAGTGCTGTCAAATGCACTGTGCTTCCACGTGCGGCAAAGTTTGGAGGCATTGTCGAGTCGACAATGTCGACATCTATAGTCCATTACCTGCTGCGCTCGTTCAGTACATGAGGGACACGCAATTTATGACACCCCGAATAAGATGCCGCATTTGATATCGCATATGCGAGTCTTCTCACTTGTGTATCAAATACATATCGTGAGCAAATTTTCCCGAGATACGGCTATATCACTAGCAAAAAAGGGACCAAACATCACCTTTGAGAACGCACATATATGCATTTCATCACGTTATGCATGCTGAAAACATGGAAATAACCGAAACATGTAAAATTCGTACACGTTTGAACACTTGTTATTTGGCCCTTTTTCCTCCTAGTGTGTCCACGATACAAGAACCGTATGCCAGACACGCATTGGTGACCTTTTGAAGACATAGCCTTTTGATGTGAAATGTGCTGAGAAGAGCACGGTTTTCGATGTATATTGACGATGCGAATAGGCAACTTTGATTTCCACATCCTGGGTGCGGCGTTTGTTTCCGAATATACTGAATCTGTCTCATGAATGGCATTGCTTGGGAACGCCATCACTGCGTGAAGTGCTGCAAATCTCAGACTAAGAACAAGGGCCCATCAACGAGCGATCAAAGCGTCTACCAACATAGAGCGAGGTTGCAGAAAGAAACTACGCGACTGGGCAAGAAAGCGCAACATTTCGATAGCATGCTTTTCATGAAGATTTATCTGATCTCCGGAGAAGGCGGGGGGCACATTCAAAGCCAAGCTGGGTTGGAATCTCAGTATTTCCGCCTTGGCGATGTCCGCAATGTCATTTATTCAGCAGGCCACTGCGCCCAGGACCAGGGGCGGGGTTTGTGTGAGAGCTGCATCAGATTAGCGCATGTCGAGCGCAGTTCCCCGCTCGTCACTGCCATCGTTCTCGATGACGGTGGCGGCGGATTGCGTACAGATTGGGACATGTACGCCCCTTCACCCTTGGCCAGAGGCCCCTTGCTTTAATACACCATGGAAGGAATATCGCAATAGAGAATATCACGGCCTGGTCAAGCCAGGCAGTGAGCAAAGAACACGCGGCAGCGCAAACCAAATTCTGGCATGCCAGAATTTGTCAGAATGCCATTGTTGCGCAGCAATTGGCGTTCTTGCTACCACCAGCAGGCTGGCTTTGCCCCACACATCCTTCGGCCGTTTGCTTCAGCACAGCACCACAAGAATATAGCAGCAGAGAATATGACAGACTGACCAGTCTGTGCAATGAAGTCAGCAAATGACAATCTGAGCCATGGCTGAGCAATAAAATTCTCGCAGCAATGCGGCGATGACGCTACCACCAGCATGCAGGCTTAGTCGCACACAGCCTTCGGAAGACCCTGCACGATCGGAGTATGCTCGCGCACCCAAGGTGAAGTTGGGTTCCGGCATTGTGGGTGCCCATGCAATGGGCACAGTTCATGGCCCTGCCAGTAATACCCTTGTCTCATTGCCGAAACCGGCCCCCAACATCCACGGCAGCACAACCCACACAAATTTTTGGCTGAAACAGAAGCTGGCTGCAGCCAACAAGGTCAATGCGCCATCGGTCATTGATGGCAGCTGCCATGGCACCTGCAGGGCTACACAACATGCAGCCGTTACCGCGCGTGGATTGGCGCAAATTGCCCAAGGCTGTCACCCACCGTCGGCAAGGATTCGTTGTGGGTGCCACTTTGAAGGGCAGGCAAAATCTCAACATACTATTTCCATGCAGCAAAGAATAACACGTCTTGTCCTATGCAAGGTGCGCGGCCAAGCCTCTAGCGCGGCTTGGCCATAGCGGCAGCATCCTGCCAATCTTGTCATGCCTTACGCAAGACGCCGTCCATGCATTATATGACATGTACACATGCACGCAACGAAGCATTTATGGACGTGGCCCCATGGCGGCGCAAACCACGTCCGCGGTGTCCATTTGCACAACCCACGGAATTTCCCACCCTTGGCTGCTGATTTGGATTTTGTTAAACTGCAACATTGTAGGACGGTACTGAAGCGGACCGGACGGGGCTGTGGGACAGAAAACATGTGCCATATGAATCCTGCATTAATGCAGCTTGTATGCGTCACATATTTTCAGCCTCCACAGTCCCGCTCTTTCCTCATCAATGCATTTTGCGCACTGAATATATCCAAATCAAAATTGCGCATTGGCTGAGGCTGTGGCTGGGAGCCCGTTAGCTAAACGCCAAGGGCGCCAACCACAAGGGCGCAAGCGCACTTTGGATTCTACAAAGCGTTAGCGTCCATCACGACATTGAGGCAATTTTGGCAGAGGGCCAGAGCCCCACACCCAAAGAATGTCTACGTATACGGGCGATATGTACGGCATCAGCTCCCTGCCAATGGCAACCGTATCCAATGCCCACCCATGGTCAATGACGAATGTGCCCGGCATGTTCAGCTCGAACACTCACAATAGTGAATAGATTATACAATTTTTGAAGAAAGTCAGTGTTAACAGAATGGCGACAATGGCGCCCCATTTGCGCTGCGGGTTGAATGTACTGCATTGATTTTGGCGACGGGAAACCACGAAGAAGAGAAGTTTTAGCATAAGAACTTGTGTCTATAAGACATGAAATGATATTGTTTTTGGCACACGCCGGCATCTGACTCCGGCTGCAATACCGTGTATAGCGCGATGACAGTGTCTGCGACAATTTGCCAAATTTTTACGATGACATCTGAGCGTTGCAGGCAGACAAGGTGTCGGCGACTACACTCCTCTTCTGGCTGCTTTTGTAAGCACGTGCAAGCGTTGTGCACAAGTCTGGTGCGCCGGTTCAAGTTGCCATTCCACAACAGAACAGCACAACAGAAATGTGCCATGGAAAGTGCGCCGGGCCGCAAAACGGGGTGCCGTTCCGCGAGTGCTATTGCGGGAGCCCCACGACGCAAAAAGTCTCACCAATTGTGCAACTCCATTCTCACAACATGTCTGGAACTCCATCCAGTTTCATTCAGCTTCCGTTCGCTCGCGATGCATTGACCAAATCCAAACGCCGCCATGCACGCCGCCATCTTCGGTAGACCTTCCCCTTGACTCCCATTCGCTCTTGCCAACGATACACTGCCCAAATTCGAAAAGCCTGCGGGAACGACGCTGGGCCACCTTTCAACGGACCTTCCCCTTGACGCCATTCTCTCGAGAGAGAGCCTCAAAAGGGCCCTTGGCTGCAGGAAACTTCTTCCATTCTTCTGCGATGCACTCCTCGAATCCCAAACCCTGCAAGAATGACATGCCGCCATCTTCCAACGCACCTTCCCCTTGACCCCCATTCAATCTCGTCTGCGGCGCGTTGCTCAAATGCGAAAGCCCCCGCAACAACGACACGCCCGGTTCTCCGCCATCTTTCACCCGACCTTCCCCTTTATATGCCATTCGCCCTCTCCGGGAACCCAAAAAGGGCCCTCAGCTTCAGCCAAGCCGTCGCAGCACCCGAGGCCAGCCCGTCCCGCGCTCCTCCCCACCGCAACGGCCGCGACGGACGCCAAAGATGTCGACGGTAGGCCCCGGCCCACATCGAAGTCCGTTCCCGGTTTCTCGGCCCAAGCCGCCGGATGCGGAAAAGCGCAAGTCGCGGTTGAGCCGACGCTTGGGGCATCCTGACCCTTGCGGCGCGATCTGCGTCCAGGGCCAGTGTCCAATTCCTTGCGATTGCGAACTGCTGATCGCTTTCTCCGTCTCCGGAATCCGCATTGGGGCGCACGTCTGCCGAGCGGCGCCTCGGGGTCCACGCGGCTCGTCAACATTCATGGAATTCACGCGCGGAATTGTTCCGTCGTGCTTCTTCCCGGCTTCCCGCTGTTTGCCGCCCATCTCGCGACGATTTCGAAAGACGTGTTCTCGCCACCGCCAGTGCCGGCGATGGTGCCACGCCGGACAGCCCGCGAGGATCGTATCTCGAGCAGGGTGATAACTCCCTTTGGTGGAGAGGTCCCTTCCAAAGACGCGTCGTTCGCCTTTTCCGCTTTGCCCAGCCGGGGCGTTTGCGCCTCGCTCCTTGCAGGATGCGCATTTCGAGCAGAATGCGGTGCCCCTGCCCTTTGCGTCTTGCCGGTCGTGCCAGCTCTCTGGCGTTGCCTTGTCGTGTTGTCGTGTGTTGCCTTGCAGTTCCCGTGGGCGGGGCCGGTCCAGGCATGGGATTCGCATTGTGCAAGTGGAGGTTGCCCTGACAGTCAGTGCAACTAAGTGTGCGGCGGGACCATTTTGGCCAAAGGGGGGCATAGCCAGACTGCTAAGCTGCAATCATGAGTCTTCACTGACTGCTGCTGTTGCCTGGTGGTCAATCCGTGGCCCACAACCCTGTTGTGGATTCCCTTGCTGACTGCAGTCTCCACCCCGTGCACTTGTGGGATTTTGTGCTGGCGACCCTGGGCGGTGGGGGCATCCAGTACAGTTGCCAACGAGGGTGACTGACTGGCAACAGTGTTGGTGAGACTCCGAGAGAGGGGAGATGTGGGGCTTGGATGATCTCTGGAGGGGCACAGCGAGACAGACCACGAGCATACAATCCGAGGGCCCTGTATCAAGCATATTCAATGATGCTTACGTGTTGTAGCGATGCATTGGGCTGGACAGCACAGTTCATTTTGCTTGTGTGCTGCTCATGCTTGCCAAGTGAGAAGGATTGGCTGCCATGCAAGGTGCAGCAGATTTTTTGTTATATGTTGTGATCTGTGGATTTGAGCCTTGCTCACAACGGCGCCTGCATGTGTGAACCACAGGCAGGCAACCATGTGTGCGAAGTGAATGAATGCATGGAGTGACAGCCAACAGAAGCAATTGCATCACCATCCATCCAGCGCATTTACACCACTGTCTGTATGAACCCCATGTGTTTAGCTATATGCAGGAACAGGTGGTGTGAGTGCCCTTCATTTAAGTTCACCCATTTGACGCATTTCTGCATTCACTCACTTCAGCATGTAAACACATATTGCTGCTTTCCTTCAGCATTTCTGCGTTCATTCCTGCAGGATGAAGGCACTTCCCAGGAGGGAGGGGGCAGCCCTCCTCCTCCAGGAGGGGGCCCGCAGGATGAGACCAATCCCCAGGAGGGAGAAGCCCCATCTCCTGCAGGAGGAGGGCCGCCGGATGAAGCCACTCCCCAGGAGGGAGAAACCCCTCCTCCAGTATTAGGAGGGCCACCCCCTGGCTCGGATCCTGACACCTTGCGGGCGGCCTATGAAATGTCACAGAAGGGCGCCGAGATGGAGTCCAGGGGCCAGTACAAGGCTGCGGAGGAGCTGTACAAGAGTGTGCTGGGCCTGCTGAAGGGCCAGGTCTCCAACAACCACCCTGTGGTGATGGGCACATACAACAACCTGGGCATCGTCCTGCAGCACCAGGAGAAGTACGTGGAGGCGGAGCCATACATGCGCAAGGTGCTGAACATGGCGGAGACCGCGCTTGGCAGCGAGCACCCGGCAGTGGCAATCGCACTGGTCAGCGTGGCCAACATACTGCGGGCCAGGTCCAAATACGAGGAGGCCCTTGACGTGTATGAGAGGGCTCTGACCATCCAGCTGAGGGCGTTTGGGGGGGACCACTTGGTTGTGGCCACCACGCTGATGAACCTTGGCAGGCTGATGGAGGCCCAGGGCAAGTACCCCGAGGCCGAGGAGCTGCACAAGAAGGCCCTGGCGATTCGGATAAATTCCCAGGAGGAGGATGAGCAGGGCATGGCGAGCAGCATCATGGGTCTGGCGTCGGTTGCAGAGGAGCAGGGGAAGATGGACGAGGCGGGGCGGCTGTATCGGGAAGCCCTGGACCTCGAGAAGAAGGCACTGGGCGCGGGCCACCAAAAGGTGGGATACGCCATGGGCAAGCTGGGGGATGTCTTGGTGAGGCAGGGGAGGTTGGGTGAGGCGGAGGACCTGTTCACGGAGGCGCTGGCCATTCAGAGGGAGACGCTTGGGGAGGGGCACCCGGGCATGGCCCTGTGCATGAAGCGACTGGGCAAGGTGTTAGTGCAGCAGGGGAGGACCCAGGAGGGGGAGGAGTTCTGCCGCAAGGCGTTGACGATGCAGAAGGAATCGCTGGGGGAGGAGCATGAGGCGGTGGCGGTGAGCCTGCAGAACATGGCGGTGAATGCGCACTCCCAGGGCAAGCTGAGGGAGGCCAGGCGGCTGTACAAGAGGGCGCTGAAGATTCATGAGAAAGCATCAGGCAAGGACGACTTGGGGGTGGCGCAGATATTGAATGGGTTGGGAGCGGTGATGACAGAGCGGGAAGAGCCGGAGGAGGCAGAGGGCGTGCTGCGGAGGGCGCTGGAGATTCAGGAGAGGGTGCTGGGCAAGAAGCACACGGAGGTGGCGGTGACCCTGAACAACCTGGCTGCCACCTTGTATGGGCAGAGGAAGTACAAGGAGGCCGAGGCGGTGTACAGGAGGGCGGTGCAGATCATGCGGGAGGCCGTGGGGCAAGACCACCTGGATTTGGTGCCTTACGTCAACAACCTCGCGGGCGCCCTGGTGCACCAGGACAAATTCGGGCTGGCCCAGAACGCATACGAGGAGACGTTGAAAATCAGGAGGCGGGAGCTTGGCGAGGATCACCCTGACGTGGCGAGGAGTCTCTGTGACGTGGCTGCCTCGCTGCGGGCCCAGAAGAAGTATGCAAAGGCGGAGAAGCTGTACACGAAGGCGCTGAACATATGCAAGGCGGTGCTGCCGGTGGATGACCCGCTCGTGGAGCGCGCCGTGACGAGCGCGATAGGCGTTCGGAGACTGATGGGCCGCTGATGGGCGGCGGCGGCGGCCCAATGGGAGTGTGTGAATAAGCGCTGGCAGGAGGGAGGCATGTAGATTAACGCTTTGGAATGCGATGCCATGGCGCAGAGATTTTGTGCCGTCCTTGTTCATTCCTTGCTTGTGTTTGGTCAGGAGTGCGAAGAATGCTGCCTTTGCATTGAAGGGACTAATGACGGGCCCTTTTCCATGTGCAACGTTTACTCGATGCCATTTGTTGGGAGAATGCAGGAGAGGTTGCAATCAACAACTGGCCATCCCCCACAATGTTGATCCATGGGGATGTCTGTAGAAAATAGCGCAACAACAATGTACCAAACGCGGTAAATACATGTAAAAATAGTGCCATAATGGTTGGTATAACATGGTTATGCCTCTACCTGTGTGCTACCCTATTCACAAGCTGATCAAATCCACAGTAATTTGATTGAATGCTACCAAAAAAACTGTGTGTACCATACGCCACTAATACATGACGCTCGATAATTTGGCTACGAATGTAATTGTGCGAAAAGGTGAACTCCTTTGGGGCGATATCAATTTGCTAAAACATAATTCTACAGCTAATGATGCATGTGAGGACGAGGGAAAAGTTATCGAGTAGTAATCTGATATACGGTGTTCTGTGGTGAAAGACGGATACGGTGAACGTAGTGTTATGTTTTTGTGAAATGCATATGGGGACGTTGGAGACATGAGATGAACATGCTTGCACTGAGAGATATTTAGTTGGTGCATACATACACGCATACATGCATACATGCATACATGTGATTGGACCTGGGAGTTTTTTTCTCTACATGATCGCCCCTTTTTAGCCAGGTTTCTTTGGGCTACTCGACAGGCATGCACTAAACATTGAGAGAGGTTTCTTCTTTGTCTCGACAAGGTTATGATCAATGCTGGGAATCAGAATAAGCAACGGATATGGGATACATTGGGACTTTTCCCAACACTCCAGGATATTTGGGACATTACATGATGCACATTACCTGACAAGACATTTCATATTGGCGGTCAGAACTCCCCCACAAGAATATTAGTTTTTTTCGAACATTCATGCTTTTTCTCATCTCCTAATTGCGATTCTACATCAGCTTCTGCTGGAAATGGATCTTTGCATACTTTACGTTTGCGGGGAAGCTCCTCTGTTTATCTTTTGATGTAATACATTGGAATTCAAAAAAATACATGCATACATGCACACATGCAAACATGCACGCATCTAGTTATGGCCTTGCTTCCCATGCCTGGATGCAACCGTGCACTGGAAGCACGAGACTGCTACAATGCGTTGAAAAGTGCAAACTTCGCTATAATGCACAACCTATGCGCAAGTAAGCCCAATTGTTTGTTGAATTCGTGCAAACAGACCTTAAAAAAAATCCCAGTCAGAGAATTCGACAGAAAGATTCCATGCATTGTATAGACAACTATTTGTAGAGATCTCAAACAATGTAAGAGGTGCAACCGTTGGGTATGGCCAGCGCATGGGATTTCACCCTGGCCTTCAGTAGAGTACCCTTGGGTCGAGCAGTCGTTAGGAGAGGGGAAGACTCCACTTGTCGTCGCAAACAATATGTTGAGTGTCCTCGCCAATAACCAGTTGATGCCGTGTGTATGGAACCATAAGATTGTTGTTCAAGAAGATGGGGCCAGACTTTTTGAGGCCTGTTTAT